GAAACGGCGAATACATTATTAGTTGATTTATTGCTAAAACCATTGATTTTTGTTTAAGTAAAAGTTTTTGCGAAAAAAAAAACGCTAGGAACTTATTCCCCAACCTAATAATACAGTAACCTTTGCAAGTGTCAGTTTTCGTAGAGACTGCTGCTTCTTTGCGAATGTTTTCATAACTGAACGTTACAATCTCTCCTTCTTAAGATGAGAAATTTGATGTGAAATAGTTAGCCATCAATTTTTCGCTTAAATTTTTTTTTACCATTCGTATGCCAGCGAATACTAGTGTAATTTCCTGTTTTTGCTACGACATTGGAGTGTCCATCGACTTCTTTTTTGCATTTCCAGAGTTTCTGATGCCAGTTTGGCTTAGGCCATAAAATAGGTCAGAAAATTCTGGGCATCTGTGAGCTCGCGCAAAACAAAGTCTTCTTCTCTATTCACGTTATTTCATGGCAACAGAATCCATGAAAGGAGCAGGATATATAGAATTGGCAAGTAGTGCTGGGATTTTATGGCTCATATCGGGGATCTTGAAAGTGTTGAGAGATTTATTTTAATCACCGTCGTCAATAAAAAACTAATATTTTAGTTTTTCCTTTTTGAGTGGATTTTTTTACTTGTGAAAAACGTTTATCCTTGTATTATTATCCAAATACTGGCGATCGTACGGCGATTTAGGACAAGGCACCAATTAGAAGAGGAGAGAATAGAGAAAGTGAACGAAGAGCATCCTTTTTTGGCATACATCAAAAGTGGAAGACTAGTAGTGCAGCAAATGAGAGTATCGCGCAGTCGATTCTGCGTTGCAGTTGTGTCACTGTTCGTACTTTACCTATGCAAAATCCACGTACTGCGATCTGAAGTGAACAAAACTTAGATAGTCGCTAGTCGTGGGCTATAAGGCTGATTTAAACGTAGGTCTAATTTTGCCATAACCATCCAACTTTCATGAAGTGCTCTCTACGTTGGGCCACTGAAATGTCGACGAGTTATGGGGTGGAATGTATCAATCTCCCTGTCGGAGATCGGGTGCGCTTTTACAATAGAAAATGAGCTCCCTATCGGGAGGAGCCTCCATTCTCGCGATACAAGAAAAACTTGCACGCTTTACTTGACCGGGCAGCAGCACCCCAACTCTTGAGGTCGGGAGCTGAGATACTAACCACGCCCGATGTATCTAAACTTGCCAGATCGGACGCATTGTGCACTCACGACATTGTTTTACTTGACAAATTAGCAGTTCTCGCTTTAGCCAAGCGTAATTCGATAGTATCCACATTTAAACTTCCTAGTTAATCTTTTCTGATAGTTTCAGTTTGATTTGCTTTAAAAAAAACCACCTCTTTTTTGATTTTGGTTTGTGGTAATGGGTAAAATACTTTGAATCTCCTTCTTTTCATACGTCCTTCAAATTAATCTCCTCTGTGTTATATATGAATTAGCTATTATAGAGCGCTGCCTATGGAGTAGGCTTAAACAACAAAATAGGGGCCAATCAAGCAGTCTTTTGTGGAGCAGTGTGATTTGTTTTAGCTTAAAAAAAACTGATTGGAACCATTTTCAAAATAAAATTGATGAAATTATAGTCACTGTAAAGGGATACATTCGCAAATGCTACATTCTCTTGAGGTCAAGATTTGAAAAATTAAAAGCATCTCTGCATTTCTTCAACTAGAATCCAACCTCGTGTACAAAATTGTTTATGAAGCTTTGTTACTCCCAGAAAATTACGAGTCACGCAAAAAACACTTAATAATTCTTAGGTTTACAAC